CCCAAAAAAAAAAAAAAAAAAAAGCAAAATAAATAAAAGATGCTGTCACAAAATCTTGACCAAGTAGGTGCTCTGACTGAATTCTAATCATAATTCAAATATGCCGCAGCAGACAAGCCTTCCTTCCCACCACCCTTAGACCAGATACTGTTCCATAACCAGTTACTGTCTACCACATTGCAAACTAGTAAGTTCACAGTTGGTATGACCCAATTCTTGTTTCCAGAAAGGAAGCCACAGTGCCTAATACAATATAGACTTACTTTTTTCCCCCAATGGAAGAATCAATCCATTCATTGCATTACCGCTGTATTTAACTCATTATAGTTATCTGATTCCCTAAATCCAAAACGTGAGTGAAATACCAACAGTGACAATTCATTCTTTGAGTTCAAGGATCTACTTACGGAGCCCCACAGAATCCGGTGTGCCATTATCATTCTTACTAGGCTGTACTAGTGGAGCAAAGGAAACAGCAAGGATATTTTTGCTTTCCCAAGTGTTTTGTCCAGTCCGCATAATCTGTGTTAACTATTTGGAGTAAAACAAGAAAGAAGCAATGCGATTACCTTCATGTCAAATGTTTACAGGAATAATTGCCAATGAGAAGATAACATTTAAATGCAACCAAGTTATTTCCATTTAAGTATATACAAGGAATCTACCACTCACTCCACAGGAAGTGCATGCCTGGTACTTTCAGTCTGACCAGGATCTGAAGTTGGGGAGTTCTTAGGACCCTGGGGAGGATTTACTACTATTACTTAACTAAATGGATACAATATTAAACTGTCCATCATGAGGAAAGCTCTCAGTCCTTACCCAGAGAACGAGTATCTGTCGATCACTCAGACATAAATGGGACATCTATTTCATACCTTTCCACACTCCCAAGGCTCAGGGATCATCACAAAAAGGTTAGAAAAACTGTAAGACCCAGAGGTCATGGAGCCTTACTACAAAACAGTGTTTTCTGAACCTGACTGAGCCATGGCACCCTTGGTTCTCAGTACCTGCAGGTCAACATTCAAGCACTGGGGGGAGGAACTCATGAAGTCCCACCCATAGCTGAGGTAACTAAAAAAAAGGAAAAGTCAGTTTTTTTTAGGGATGGAGTCCTTGCTAGGTAGGCCATGCTCCAACGGGTGGCTCTACACCCATGTGTATATGAGCAACACTAACTGGACTCTTTAATTATTTTTTTAAAGGATTTTTTAAAAGGATTTTTTTAAAGGAGGGAGACATGAGAATCTAGAAGTTGTGGATGGGGCAGTGAATGGAGAATATGATCAAAATACAGTTTGTGTGCATGAAATTCACAAAGAATACGTTCATGTACATATGCCAGAGTCTTCCTTTTTAAAAAGGACTTATACATATGGGGCCTAGGACGGAAGGGGGATCCGCATGAGCATATGTGCTCAGGCACACATGTGGAAGCCAAAGGAGGAAGCTGGAGTTACAGACATTTGGAGGTAGCCACCTTGTACTTGAGTGCTAGGACCCTGACTTTGATCCTCATGATTGCAGCCTCGACCTCACAGAAATCCGCCTGCCTCTGCCTCCCAAGTGCTGGGATGAAAGATATGAGCCACCACCGCCCAGCTGCACAAGCATTCTTAACAAGCGAACTGTGTCTCTAGTCTCAAGGTGGAACCCTAACCACAAAAGGAATACTCAAATACAGCAAAGTCAAGTCTGTATGTTACACTCAACATCTGATGGCCTCTACAGGTACCACCAGTGATCTGGACATTATACTGCCTCCCAAAATAAACATGGGAAATAGGTCCAGTTATTTGGTTAAAGCATTGTCAACAAGAATACCAGTGGACTCACTTTATACTCTGTGATAAAACAGATTCTAATCTAATTTGACGCCACAAATAAAAACAGTCAGGGCCAGAGAGATGGTTCAGCTGATTTAAGTGCTTACTGCCAAACCTGACACCTGGGTTTCATCCCTGAGACCCACAAGGCAGAAAGAGAAACCAACTCCTACAAGTTGTCCTTTGACCTCAAACATGTTCTGTAGCATTCCCCTACATACCATATGTACATAATAAATAAATATAAGAGACTGTTTTTAAGTCCTGAACTACAGGTTAGCTTGAGATAGAGAGCAAGAGTTTGAGTCAGGAAAAACAGATCTTCAAACCCATTATTAAAGGAAATCAAAAAAAGTGAGTTATTTTAAGCATAAACCTCAGAAGTGTTCATGTAAATCAAGGAAAGTGTATGGATTCGTGCATACGTATTAAAAACAGCGCACACTGTACTACTCTCATTGCCACACCTTCACACCAGGCTAGGCATATCCATTTTTTTTTTCTTTTACTATAAATGCCATGTGCCTGCCTGCGTGTTGCTAGAGATAGAACTCAGCCTTCCCTGAGAGGCAAGCCCTCTACCACTCAGTCACATCCCTGGTCCTTCCAGAACCATTTCTAATAATTTTTTAACACTCTTATCTACTGAGCCATCTTTCTAGCTCCTCAATGCAAATTCTTTTTAATTCCGTTTTGTTTATGAGGCTAAGCACTTGAAGCCAATCACAAACCAGTCCATATATTCAACTGAGTATGTTCCAGATGAAGAACCAGGGGCAGCAAACTGACTGCCTGAGTGAACTGACTGATCAAGTGGGCTCTAGTCTCTCAATCACACTCTCTACAGCTGCATCACTTTGAAATACTTAAGGATCTCTTTCAAGCTTTTTTATATGCAGGTATGTAGAACTACAAGGACTTCATTTCTGCTTCAAAAGTTACAATGTATCTTTCCCCGTCACAGAACAGTAATTCCCAATCTCACAACTGTATGGTCTCTCTTGGGACAAATGCAGAACAGAGAAGGTACCTGATCCTCTATAGGCATGACCAGTATTCCCCCAACTTTGAGCAAGATCTTCATGTAGTTTTCGTGATCTTTCTGGACTCCAGCTCCACAGTAAATTCGATCATACTGATGACTGTCAGAAGCTATCTGAAGGCAATTACCCACCACAAATGCGGGTTCACAGAATTCAAATCTGTGTGAGAAAACAAACATTTTTCATTTGTTTAAACAAAATATTAGCTCTCTGACAATTCACCATAACCCTGTCCTTGAAACAGCAAGGTCACCAAAGTTAATTTTAAGGACAAAATACAAGTTGAAAATTTGATGTAAAATATGTGTGAAACTTAACACTGATCAAGTATATTGTTTTGTTATTCATGATACAAAACACAAAGATTTAACCTATTCTGGCCATACTGAAACCTTACATAGGGCATATAAATGAATATAATGAAAAGCCCATCAAATGACAATTTTCAGATGCTCCCATAATGTTTGAAGATGAGAGTTAACAATAGGGAAAGGCTTCACTTTCTACTCTCTTCTCAGAAAAGAGGGCTCTTCAAGGACTCCTCTCTGACACTGTTGCTGACAGAAGCAGCAGCATAGCTTTGGCCAAGAGAGCAATCGATCGGCCACTTAGTACTTTCAGCTACTAAGATTAGGTTGGCTTTAAGAAAAATGTGGCCAGGCAACTGGCAATACTGGTACAAAGCAAATGGGTGGTGCTTTCTTAAAAGCAGCATTGGTCCCTATGATTTTCTTAAGCAACACAAGAGGAGATGAGGTTTCTGGATTCATCCAACCAAGTCCTCCTGGTTACAATGATGGCTCCTGGTAATTTTATACATCAGTAAACTACCCTATATAGACTCTGACTTGACTTCTTAAATTCTGTCAAAAAAGTGAAAAACAGACTATCATACAACATAAAATTAAAACCTCAATGCAAAGGCAATCCTTTTTCCCCTTAGACCTTGAACTCACTGTACAGCCCAAGGTGATCTCAAACTCCTTCAAGTCCTGCCTCAGCATCTCAAACTATAGGTGTGAATCACCACTCACAACCACAGTCAATCTTTTCAAACTAATTCTTAAGCTTTTAAGTTGATAGTAATAAAATCATACCATAAGATTAAGCCATTATTTACCAATGAAATAATTTACAGGAGTGTGGCATACACTGTAAGATGACCAAATGATTTCCACCAGAGCTAATTTTAATTTATAAAGCATATCCTGCCCTTGATAATTAATAGTGAACTTCCTTCATTTTAAATTCTCATTAAAATTTATTAGCATAGAGATACATCAATGGACATACATTTAAAGGAGTCCACCAGCCTTGTGCCCTGAAAGTAGGGAAGGGTTAAGTTGGAAGGTAGGAGTTAAAAACAGTGTACACTGTCCTCTCATCTCTATAGCTTCACACTGAGCCAGGCATGTCCAGTATTTCTTTTACTGTGAAAACCATCTCACATACATTTTTTTCAGAACTCCCTTCAGAGAATAAGGGGTTGCTATGTTCCAAATTTACTATAAGTGTTTCCTTTAAAGAACCTATGTGCTATAAGCTGGCCCAAAGTATGGCAATGTTGACAGGCAGTTAAGTCTTTAAGAAGGGAGTCCTAGTAGGAGGTAACTAGATCATGAGGACACATCTCAAAGGGATTAATTGCCATGTCACAGGGGTAGGTTAGGACTCATCGCACCAATCAGTTGTTACAAAGCCAGACCACCCCCAAATGTTGTACAATATCCCCAAACACATGCTCAACATGAGATGCTGTCTGCCATGTCCTGATGCATGGTAGCTTGTGTTCTGTTACAATACAAACAGGCTTCTAGTCCAGCTGCAACTTGTACACACTTCGCTGAAGGCAGACTGAACCACTTGCCTCTAATTACACGTGAGAACCATTACAAAGTATTCCTGTGTCTGTGTGTGCTGTTCCTTTGCCCTAAATTCCCCTCACTGGCCACCTGTATTAATGAATGTCTCCTATACTTTCAAGTTACACATAAAATATCAACTTTACAGTGAAATGTTAATCTGTTTTAGCTTTCCTACATTGGGATATTTTAGTTTCTCTCAGAGACAAGACTACATAAACCAACTTCTGTTTAAGATAGGGTCAAAATATATTTTCTTTTTGTTTATTTTATTATTGAATGTATATAGGTGTTTTGTCTGCATGTATGTATGTTCCACATGCATGCCTAGTGCCTATGGAGGACAGAGAGGGCATTTGGATTCCCTGGACCTGGAGTTACAGGTGGCTGTGAGAAGCCTTGTGGGTGCTGGGAATCAAACCTGGGTCCTCTGCAAGAGCAACAAACTCTCAACCAGTGAGCCATCACTCCAGTTCCAAAATGTAATTTTTTAATTTTAAATAATCATGTTGTGAATCATACAGTTTAATTATTTTTATTAAATTTACAATAAGTGCTCTTTTAAAAAAAAAGTTATTCTAAGTAAGTTCTATCTGGAAAATCATCATTCTTATAAAAACTCATTTTAAGTAGTAATTTATATTAGTCTTATAACTTATAGATGACAAAATCGTCAAAAAATCAGAAGGTTTTGAATTATTAAACGTCTTTTACAAATCTATTAAATCAACTAAAAACATACTTTAATGGTTTTGAAAACTTTCTACTTACAGAACTAATACCTAACAAAACACCATTAGAAGTGAGCAACTTACAATTAAAACCACAGATAATTATTCAAGAATTTTGTGCCTGATATTCAAATTAAGTGTATGCCGCTGCACAAGTTCCCCAAAAGCAGTTCCTGCTCCTCTAGTCAAGTGGAGTCTAACTTTAGCTCTGGGTGCTCACTGCAGTGACAGCGAATGGACAAGACAAACAGTAAACAATTCACTCATTGCAGTATAATTTACATTACGGCAAGTGCTTTGGCATTTAGGGGAGAGGAATATGATTCCTTAAGTATGAAGGTAAGAGGCATCACACAGACCTGGAGATTGGAGGCTTCCTGTGAAATTAGAAGCTGTGATCTGAAAGGTCAGACAGGATTGTCTAAAGCCACACTATCCAAGGTGGCAAACACTAACCACATGGACCCTGAGATGGTAAAAATGTGGCTAGCCCAATGATTTGCACTCTATGTATGAAATTTATATAAATTTTCAAAGACTTTGTATGAAAAATAAACTATTCAAATAATTCTTTTACATTGCATACCAATAGACAAAGTTTACATAGTTACATCAAAGGACAAAATACCACACAACTGGTCACTTGCTTTTCTCAGGCACTCAGGTGGTACAAGAACTTTCTTCTTAACATACTGTTTTCCCTTTGGAATATTTTCCTGGTTTTTGGTTGTCTTTCATGTGTTGGTTTGTTTTGGTTTTTGTCATGTCTGAATATGTCTAAATTTAACTGCATCTCTATCACCTATTACAACCCCCACAAATGCATGTATTCAACTAAGGAAAATATGTAAGAAATACATTTGCTTTATAATACCTTTTCTAACCACCAACATTGAATAAGATCTCAAATTACAAACAAAATATGATCTTCACAAAAATCTCAAGATCTGAACAGAAATTTGCCTGGAAATAGTTATGGGAAAAGTATATGCCCACTGCATCCATAGTGATGTAATGGTTCACAGGTCATGATACTAGCTGGTACCTGCGGCATCATGTATACGCCCCAACACATGGAAAATCAAGGTAACTCTTGGCTTTAATGTCATATAACTGAGTGTCTAAAATGCTCACTATTCTAGTGATAATCTGAATGTTTTCTCTTCTGGTGGAGATATGATGAAGTCTATTTACCTCAATGTGTGGATAAAAGCATTAGTTTGGAAGATTCAATCTCTGATGTCCACTAATACAAATGAAATACAGAATCCTAATTCACTTACTTACTATACTTTAACATGCTAACTTCCTTAAATAGAACACTTAAATTTGAAATCCTACTGGAACTAGAAAATATTCCAGGATTGGTGAGATGGCTCAGAGGATAAAGGCACCTGCTGCCAAGTCCGATGACCTAGGTTCAGTCTTCAGGGTCACATGGTAAAAGAACAGAACTGATTCCCACCAGCTATTCTCTAACCTCCAAGTCTGTGCCCCGTCCACAACAAAATAAATAAAAAACAAAGAAAATTAAATTTAAATCCCAAAAGTACTGTACTATTTCTAGTAATAAAAACTTTTAAACAGAGACTTTAAAATTGTGGGATACTGTTGGCCATAAAAACATATAAAGAATTTGTAAGCCAAATACACAACAAAAAGTCACCACTAACTTAAAGAGTGTTAAATAAACATAATAAAAAAGAAAACCAGAAAAGAAATAAAACTTTCCCCAAAAGTATTCTTTATTAAACCATTATTTATTATAATTATGGCTTAATCTTTGCTACCTGTAATACATGAACTTTTCAAACTTGGTTAAGAAAAAAAATTTAAAATTGCTTATTGTTAAAATTGAAAAGTCTTACATATGTATACAGATTAATTTTCAAACAAAGCACTTACAGATCCTTCTGAGTAGCAAGAAGTGGAGAACTAGACATGCCTCACTAATGTACAGCACCTTTACAACGGCATCAATGAAATAAATTCATACCAGTATGCTTGAGAGTGACTAGGATTCTACTACTGACATTTCCCCCCAAAATCTTAGCATTTAAAATGCTCCCGTTAAATGGTGGAACATGTTTATAGATATACTCGTAGATAAGCACAATGAAATACTTAAATAACTGAATCAAGACATGGATGGAGGCTGTTAACAGTGTTATCTGTAACTGAGCAGTAAATTATAATTCCTATTGATTCTTCCAAGGAGAATAAAAAACAAGAAAAAAAATCTTAGTTCTTAACTTATTCCAAAAGCTGTGCTACACTGTTTCTTTAAAGACACAGAAAAAAAGCACACTTTAAACCTTAAACAATAATTTCCATGTAATCTAGAATACTGCAGCAATAAACTGTCCAAAACTTTTGTGTATAAAACAGCACTATGGATACTGATAAAATATACATGAAATTATATTTATAGGTTAGAATATAATGAAAAAAGGAAATCCAAATCCCATTTTTCAGACAAATCACACATCAAATGAAACCTGAGAAATGTAACTAATCTACCAAAATGATAAATACATGTGGTTATATTTAAGAATGGCTTAGGTGT